CTTGGGACCGTGGGTTGGAGGACGAACAAGAAACACTTCCCCGCGATAGCTTCTGAGAAGCAGACCCGAGGAGACATTTTCTGCTTGGAGGTGCAAACCCCTTGCCTGGGGACTGACGCAGGTTGACGGGCAATAGAGCCAGGCTGAAAGCCCCTCTCCCATTCTAGGGCAGAAGGAGCGCCCTCCAAGTCGTCCTCTCAGTTGCGCTTCCCTGTCGCCCCTACCCAGAGGCTGCCCAAGCAGAGGGGAGGGTTGACTCCCTGGCCACGGAGCTCCGCGGGCGCCAAGCACAGCCTAACCTGGCGAGCCGCTATCGTCCGAGCCACTCCTTCGTCCCCCCTGCCCCCTCCAGCCCACGACCTTCGACCTCGCACCCCGGGCCCTTGGAGACACTGCTTAAAGTATCAAAAGTCGCAGCGCCGCCGCTCCCCACCCCCACGGCCAAGTCCGTGCAGAGAGGCCAGAGACTGTGCCTGGGAGGGAGGAGCGGTGGTCGCTAGTGGAAAGTGCAAAGACCAAGACCGAGCCGGGGTGTCCCGGACACCCCTCTAGGATGGAGGTGGGGTGGGCATGGTCCACTTGGGCCCCTACCTGGGAAGTATGAAGCCATCGGCTGCATTCCCAACGGCCACACTGCTTCCTCCCACTGGACTTCCCAAGACCAGCTCAGTCTTATTATTTGCAAATTCACAGGCCTCGTTTGTTGTTCTTTGTTTCAGGGACACTATTGTTGTCTTTTCTGCTGGCCACCCGGAGTATTCACTGGGTTTGCGGTGCGTTGTTTCCTTCCCCGCCCCCACAGAGTGGCTTTCCCGAGCCAATGTGGATCTGCCTGCGAGCCCACGGGTCCTTCCCCATCGCCTGGCGTTTCCTCCGTGCGGCCCCAGTTTTCCCGAGCATCAAAAGCCTGCAGGAAATCGCCGGTCACTCAAGGACCAAAGGGAAGCTCTTCTATGACGCCTCGAATGAATCGGAGCCACAGTTCGTCCTCTACTCTGGTTAAAAGGCCGCTAAAGGTAAAGGCTGCAGCTCTTAGAGCCCAGGTGCGATCTGAACCGGACTATTAGCATATTATCGCAATTAGGATCCCTGAGCCCCGAGGGGCCCACAGGTGCAGGGCTCTGTGCCCGCGGCTCTTATTCGGG